TTTCTAACGTAATGATTAAAGTATATGTGCTAGAATCGAAATATTAACGTTCATTATATAATCACGTTTCTAAATATAAGAGAGAAAAAAGTGTGTTGTACAAGAAGTAGAGAATACTTGTATCCATTATACTAGTATTACGAGTTTCAAGAAAATAATATACAGAACATGAAATCGATTAACACATAATAACCAACTCTAGAATGACAATCAAAATCGTTATTATATAATTTCCTTTTATTTCTTACATAATTTCCTTTAATGAAGCAACAGATATATACCTTTCTTGCTCAGTGAAGACGGGAGGGCCTTTGTGTTTTGTAATTTCTTCATCATTGTGAACACCTACCACCAGATAATCGCCTAAAGCTTTCGCCTGCCTCAAGGAATTTGCGTGTCCAAAATGCACCATGTCATAGCTGCAATCAATTGTGTATTTAATTTGTGTAAATAGAGAATATCATTAACAAAAATGTTAATAAAATTATTTCATCAAAAGAATTATTTGAAAAAAATCATTTAGCATAATATAATATAAAAAATAGGAAATTTTTTTACAATTTTAATATTGTCCAAATTATTTGAGTGAAAGAAAAGAGTAATTTTCATTTGTATAGTAATAATAGGTCAACAAAAGCAATATCTGTATAAATCTATAAATTGTTTGTGCCTCGCATTCCATGTTTAAATAATATTGAACTAAAATCTGCAAATTGTGCAAACAATCGAAAAGAAAATATATTTCTTAGAGCATAGTAAAAAAAACTGCATTTTAGCATAAAAATGTCTAATAGGTACGATATATTAAAAATGAAAAAATACGTAATATATGAATAATTCAACAAAGATTTCGAGAAAAGCAGTTCATCAACACACTCCGAGTATAAAATGCTTTGGTAACTATTATATTACTCGCGCTTGTCGCGATAACACTGAATGCGAGTCGACGATCAGTATGGCGACACATACTGATTATATGAATCTGTGTGTATACATCCATCGCGTTTGAAATTAATATTATACAATTACATAGAAAAATGTGCGTAGTAGTTAGTTTCTGAGAAACAAGACATGAATAAAATTCGGTTTATAAATAATAAAATATATCGAGATAAAAAGAGAAATATAGAGATTAAAATTAGTGTTAAAATATTCAATAGAATAAAATTAAAATTGGCATGTTCGTTACATGTTACAATTTTCGAGTTTATTTTTGCATTACTAATATATATTGATTTTGATTGGCATGCATAATATAAACGTAAAATATAAACGTAAATTGAGCAAGTCAAGGTCTTACATTCCAAAGATCTTTACGACATCATAAAAAAAAAGAATTGTAATGAATCGTAGTCATCGTATACGAAACAACGATCATATTTCATGGACGCTTATCGCTAATCGATTATCATTCCAACGACTCGTTTGCTGGCAGCGTTACTTAATAAAACAGAGATATCGTAATTTATCTGAAATATGCAAGTTTTTTAAACAAGTTACCATATATTGGAAAAGAATGAAGAGATTCAGGACCGTGAACAAGGACTTGAATTTGGCGACCAACGAACCGGTCTATCATGTTCGTCCTGTCCCTGTACCATTTTATCAGAGCGCTAAACGAGGACGTGCGCTGCTCCGAATTATCGTTACAGTGAATTGCTCCGACCGGAGACGATTCTCTATTGCCAATCACGCGTGAAGTGCGATTTCGGAGTACGTTATATATATTTCCCTATTCGACTAATTTAACTAAGAACAATTTTGCCGAGAAATCTAAAAGTGTAGCTATTAGCTACAGATCTGAAAATAATTTTGTTGGACCATCAAAATGCCTCTTTTTACTCACAATAAATTCTCTCTAATATAAATGAAATAATAAAATTATAAAATATATGAATATACGAATATGTATAGATAAGAATGCAATTCCTAAGATAAGTAGACATTTTAAGAATAAATCATTCGTTTGCAATCAGCGCATGAAAGTTTTAACGAGAGGAAAATCGAAGAATTCTAATTCAAGAAACTTGTCTCTTCCTCGAGTATATTCCTTATATATTCCCGTATATTTTCTCATTCAATTAATCAATAAACTAATCTACTTTGCTAAAATAGTGAGACTAAAGAATTCACTTGTCTTTTTTCTTGTCCAATAAAACCTTTGCAATATAAATACATCAACTAAGTAAAATAATAAAATATAAATATTTCTTAGACAAGTAGAAATCTTATAATAAGAATCAATAATTCGTAATAATTCGTTTGCAATTAGTGCGTGAAAGTTTGAATATATGAAGAATGCTTCAAAAACTTGTCTTTCTTGACTATACTTGATTAATTTATTTTACTAGAAAATTTATGTCCATTTCTATCAATGTAGATTATTAATTGCAATAATTCTCGGTTTTGTTTACTTTTATCTAATTCTTAGAGATACAATTCTAAAGATACAAAATAACTCAAACCGAGATTAAAGTTAATCTAAATTAGTAGAAATGGATGAGACAAGACTTTATCATATGAGAAATGGATGAGACTTTTTATTACCTAAGAAATGGATAAGAAGAAAATGGACTTGCTTCTCTTCTTATTCACGATAAAACCCCGATATGTAGATGTATAAAGTAAATAGGATTATTATAAAATATAAGTAAGAATATAATTCCTATGATAAGTAGATATCTTTAATAAGAATAAATCCTTCATTTGCGATCACGTAAAAATTAACGAGAAAACTCGGAGGAACTAATTCAAGAATTCATCCTCCTTCGTGTATTTCCTCATCGTTAGAAGACTTCGAGAGAACACGCTTGTCTCTCCTTGTTATTCGTGATAAAATTCCAGAATATAAATTAATCAATAGAATATAAAATATAAATGAGAATATAATTCCTAAAAATAGAAATCTCTTAAAAAGAATAAAATCCTTCATTTGCAATGAAAATTAACGATAAAAATTGAAAAACTAATTCAGAAACTCGACTTCCTCGTGCACTGGATAGATTTGCTGAATTCTAATAAATATTTGTTTAAATAATACTAATAAACAATTTACTTACAGTAAATAAATATTTATTCAATAAGATGATACTACAATCAAATTAATGATTCTTGTATCGAATAAATACATATTTACATGTAATAAATATTTCATTTGTGTCATTCAAACAAATATTTATTAATATTTAGTACATTTTTTCCAATGTACATTTCCTCATTCGATTAATCTGCTTCGCTAGAAAAAAGACCAGAGAAGCTCTTGTCTCTTCTCTTTTTCACGATATAAAATCCTTACAATATAAATTGAATAATAGAATTATAAAAAAAAATAGAATTATAAATAAAAATAATTCTATACAAAGATTCTATAGAAACCTCTAAATAATTAAGGATAAATCGTTTGCAATTAGTGGTCGCGTGAAAGTTACTAACGGAGGAAGATCGAGAAAGCTAATTTCAGGAAAAACTCGCTTTCCTCGCAATTTTAGTTACGCCGCGCCGGTGGGAGGGTTGGGACACGTACGTCCGTGCAATAATATCGATTGATTCGCGTTCCTAACGAAGCTCGCGGCGAGGATGCAATCCTCGTAATCCGCACCCCGCGCGTTAGCGACACGTCGAGAAGACACGTATTATACCTCGTCGACCGGCCGCGAGCGGCGTCACTTCTTTGTGATTCTATCTCAACGTGTATTCCCTTCGACACGGCAAAAAAAAAAATCCACAAATGACACTTACCACCCATCGCACCAGACGCGGACCTCCTTGCGGTTTTCCTCCGTCATGACGGAACACGATCAAGTTTCTGACACTACTGACAATACTGACTGTCTCTTCCCACAGTTCCTACCGCGACTATCGTAACTGCTGAACTGGAGTGACTCGAACTCGGGCCGGAGTGACGCCGGCAGCCAGCCGTGGGCTGATCAAAGAGGGATAGAGAGGGGCGAAAGGGCGGAAGATGCCACGCGCGCGCACAACTTGGAGTAACCGCTAGACCTCGCCACCTATCTCGAACAATTTCCATTGAATCGGATCGCATGCGTTGTTTCACGCATACGTTGCGCAATAGGTTTGTCGCGTCGCGTGCTCCAACATGCTCCTACTACCTCCAATCATAGCTCCCTACTCACTCAAACTAGCGCTCGTTAGAGTAAGAAGAAGCTGTGGTAGGAACATGTTGAAGCATGTTGGAGTATGCGACGAGAACAAAAACTAATACGTTTCAGTGGTGGGCTTTAAAATCCCGCCGCGTCTTCCGCTACTGTGACTCACAAGAATTAAAATTTCATTCTCATGCCGAATTGACGTCATCGCCGAGTAGGGATCAGGACTGACGTAACTCGAGGGAAGCACGGCCGTTGTGGAAAAATTTAATTGGCGCGATAACGTGCATCTCTCCTAGTAACACACACAATTTCGCAAACGTTAATTTATTTCAATTTCTTATCTTGCGAATTAAAAGTCTACATGATTAAGCTTTGATCAAAAAGTGATTTTATATAAAGAAAAAAAGATTACCGAACACCCTATTATTTATTGATTTACAATTCTAAATTTTTTTTCTCTCCAAAAGAAAGAAATAATTTTTATATCGGCATCTCCATTATGGAATTGCCCGCATAATCGATTGTTGAAGATTATTTGACAGATGCGAAGATCTTATCCCTAAGAAATTTCACCTGATTTCTCCACATTAAGTATGATATATACGCGAAAATACATTCTTATGTCCTATTCTTGTAGGTAAAAGTTCTGTTATAAAAGCTATATCTTGATTTTTAAGAATTAATCGTAGAATGAAGTAGCAATTTAATTCGACAACACAAAATATTTTTAATTTTGGAATATTCTGAAGTGACAAATAATTCGATTATTTTAATAAATCAATATACAGTAATCACTGTAATGTCTCTGTCGAGTTTAAAGTTTTAATTTTCATTATTCTACAAATAAACGACGAACATAGAATCATTGTTACCTGCAACTTTAATAGTAATCTAGTTTTCTTAGAAATTGCATTAAACCGAAAAATTGAATTTCATTTAAATATACCTTTTAAACTCAGTGCTAGATGAACACGATGATTTGGCATATAATTTTCTGTAATAGATGTGCATATAACACTTCCGAAATTCGCGAATCAAAATATCACAGCGAGTTCTCGAAAAAATAAGCTATAAAAGTATTTTCTTTTTCTTTTTTACTGTGATATTGATTTGCAAATTTCGAGCATCCTGTACATTAGATACACACACATATATATATATAAATACATATATATAAATATATATAAACTACTATGAGTAGTACTCAATCATGCTTTATCTCTTCCCTATTTTGTGTATACACATCCTTGTTACAATGTTAAAAACCTTTTTGTTCTAGTACACAAAGAGGTTTTTAAAGATTAGGAAGAGATAGAAATAAATTCACATGATTAGTGTTTATAGCAATTACTACGCATCCATTGTAGTTATAAAATTGTTATCATTTTTGTTATCACTATAATCTAGCAGATATAATGTTTGCTAACATTACAATCTAACAGACAAAGATTTATTATATAAAATACAAAGTCATTATAGAATTTCAAATATATGATTAAACGTAATGAACAAAATAATAAAATTAAATATAGGAGCAATCTTATTACTTTTCTAGTCATCTTAAATTTATTTATGAATGTTATCTTATTTGTAATATTGAACTTTGTTACGCGACAAGGAAGAAGCAATGACATTTTACACATTCTGATGATTTATAGCATTGTCGATAAAAACATATATCGTAATGATGATGCGGGTAATTAAATTGGAAAGTTGGAAAGCTTGGTCATTGTGGAAAAATGTGCGATATAATCATAGACATAACAAATGTTTTATTGTTGCATGATAAACCTCGCTGAAGTAAATGTTTTCACTTGAGTAAAAAAGCAAATTCCAAACTGGATCGTATGATTCTCGATAACCAATGAATGAAGATGGTCTTTCCCGGCACTTTAAAAGATTAATTATTATCGATAATGTAATAATGAAATTATCAGGCGTCTTTATATAGGATATTTCAGAGTAAATTTGACATCAGCATATATATACACGTGTTTGTGTGACAGCATTCGTGACTTAAGACATCTGACTTATATATAACTTCGTCAAAATGTCACATCGACGTTAATTGAATGCCGATCATAAACACACGTTTATACATATTCATGATTTATGATACACAGAGGAATCTCTGAAAATGTGTTTATGATCAAAATAAATTGCAATTATACAAGCATAAATTAAATTTATATCGCTATTACGATATCAATAGATTATAGAAATAAATACGCACGTAAAAGTAAAAAATAAATACGCTCTGCGTCAAAAAAATATTATCGAAGAAAAATTACTTAAAACCAACGTTACGTTTTTAGCTTTTTATAGTGTCAGTCTTACACTATTTTATTGAATGTACAGCGGCAAGCCAATCGAATTGTAATACTATATCATTCGGCGGCAATCATGCGATAATTGACCGCTTAAATATATTAAGGATCCTATCCTAAATATAACATATGTGACTTTGCATAATTGATAATATTATAATATTACTTAAAGCTAATGAAGAGTGACGTGTACTGGAAAAGAAAAGGAGACGAATGCTCGTGAGAATGTGTAATTTTTTTTGGAACTATTCTCTGCAATTCTGGGCTCGTCGGCTCAATCAATCGTCGACTGCCATTATTCCCTCTGGGACGCAGATGTTCATATTCTGTTACAAATGAGAAAGACATATAGAGCCAGACAAAAATGTCGCCCTTATAATTTTTTCTTATTTAGTCTATCAATCTAAAATTTCTCTTTTCTTTGTTAGGTTGTATAATACCCACATTTGACCGTTCGTTCAATAGCCGTTTTGTTGCCTGTAGCTGCTTCCATATCCACTATTGTTCTGGCTATAGCTACCAGAGCCACCGCCGGAAGTTCCACTTCCAAAGCTGTTTTGAGGGAACGATTTACTGCTTCCATAGCTAGCCCCGCCTATGCCACCTATGTGAAGCGTACATCAAGCATTTACAAAACACAGTAATTTCACCCATCTAATGCTATGAACGTCACAATATGGCAGCAGTGAATATAATCAAGAGTCTTAAAAACTAGGGAAGTGGAAAGAATAGAAGGGCTAAGAATATGGAGACTTGATTGTATGGTGACTTGATTCATATTTTACTGATTTAGAATGCAAATAACATTTTTTCCATTTCAAGCGGACAGATTCAACAAAATTACACAATCAATTTTTTAAAGGCTGAGAACCCACCGCTACTACTTCCGGACCATTTGTTGCGATCACTTGCACCAGTACCGGAAGAGCGGTCGAATCTTCCTCTATCTCCTGCATCACGGCCTCCACGAGATCCTCGTGAACCACCACGGCCAGATCCTCGTCCACCGCCTCCACCACCTCCGCTGCGTCCACCATAGCGTCCTCCTAATTATTAATTAATAATAATCCCCCTAGTTAGCAATAACAAAATATTTAAACAAAAAATTTTTTATAAAAATTAAATATAAATTTCAAATAGATGTGAAGTTTTAGTACAGTATCTTTCAATTGTGTGTGTGTGTAATTTAAAAAAAAACTCACTCTGCAAAATGCCAGGATTTCGGGATAAATCATATAGTTTCGGATTGACAACTTGCTTAGCTTCTTCTAAAACTTGAATTAAGTCACCAGCCTTGTGAGCATTGCCAGGTGTGAAAAAGGCGTACGCGGTTCCTGTACGCTGCGAACGACCCGTACGTCCGATACGGTGCACATAGTCCTCAGAGTTAGACGGATAGTCCAAGTTTATCACAAATTTGACATCCTCGACATCTGCGAGATACATCAAGTTATAATAACAGCACACGGAAAACACTTGTTCCTTTGTGGTTCAATTAACTTATAAAGCGAATACATTCAAGCATTTTACCAGGACGTTGTCTTTGCTAATGGAATTAAAGAATGTTTTCAAGTTACCATTATTGAATATTCTGCAGCAAGATTTGAAACATTTATAATGCTGCGCTACGTGGCCGACATTTTAAAACATATTTTAGACATGAAGAACGGACAAAAAATTACCTCAAATAATAAAAAATATTGTTCCAAGGTGCAATAAAGTAGCTTTAGTTCCATTTGCAATTTATATATAACATTCAAGTTGACCACAAAGAGCAAGTCTGCATGTAATTACCTGTTTGCGACTAGAGCTGGAAATGTAAATACATTTTTTGGAAATGTAGAGGAATCAGAGCTCAGATGGTTCTCATGGAATTCTCGCTTCACGTATTAGCGAGCTCTACATTTTTATTCTTAGTCATTTTTACACCCTTCTCTCCCGCACCAAAGTATGGATCTGTGCTGGATATTTCGAAATTTGGTCCTTGTACATTGCTTCGGTGAAGAGGTTGGAACACCAAGTGAGCACCTTGCGTTCTCCACTCAACCCCCACATGTACTCCCCCATCAAATAATTAGCATCAAGAATTACGCACCGCAATATTGTGAAGACTCCTTCCTATTTTGATGCAATAATTATTAATAATTATCGCTACTCCTCATTTGTTCACCCTAACTTACAGAAAGTCTTTGACAAATCAAATTCATAAATAATATAAATATTATGCAAAGATTTCAGAATATGCTCTAAAAGTTGTTTACACTTATACCGAGTTTTTACGTGAAATAAAAAGCGGTGTTTAAACAATATCACAAATAATGCAGAGCGCGACTTGATGCAATTTACTTATCAATTTAACAAATG